TTTATAAAAATCATACTCTAAAATTTATGTATTTTTTTTTTACTTTAACTATTTAATTTCTAAAACAAATAATCCACAAATAAAGAAATATATAAGTGATAGAGTGATACATCAATCGAATTACAATGTTATAAAATCAATTATTTGTTTTAATATTATATTAATTTTTATCCTGTTTATTCTCAATTTTGGAGAGTTTGAAAAGAAAAATCAATTCATTCATTCTAACATTAATTTTGAATGAATATAATATATAACTTGTAGTGATCATCTCCTTATCTTTTATATTAACCCACATTTAATTTTGAACACATCAATGTTTTCAAAGTGTAATATATTGCATTGTGGAATAAAGAACTAACAACAAATATTAAATAAAGATTCAAAAACAACCATTTGAATAAAAATGTCTAGAAAATCTTATGTTTAATTTATTAACCTTTCACTAAAACAAGATATCAAATTCTTCCATGTTTTGTAAAATCTTTTTTTCCAAACATATTTTCTTTCAACAAAACTTTGACGTGTTTGAATTTTGACTTGAAAAAACTAATTTCTTACCTTTAATGTCTATTTTATACTTTCTTATTAAGTCCTTATAAATAATCTCACATTTTCAATTTCACAACAAAATCTATCTTCATATAATAAAAAAATAATAATGAAATAAATCAATTTTATACTTAGATATAACACAATACTTATAACCATAACTTCTATCGATCACACCATAATATTTGTTAAATTTTAAAACCACATATACAATTATTTGATAAATAATAAATAAGAAAGATTCAAGTCATTACATCAAAACCAAATTAATTTGATTAGATATAACGAATCATATAACAAAAGTGACATAAAAAAATATTTTAAATTTTAATAAATTTTATTTTTCATTTTGTCAATCAAGTTGAACCTATAAAAACATAACTCTTATTATTTGATTTGTCTCCATTTAGTATTGTTATCTTGGTTTCTTCTTTAAACNTTAAAAATTTGGTCCTCATTTAGCAACAAATGAGGACTAAAACCAAAATTCCGAGGACTAAAACGAACGTTTCGAAAAAAATGAGAACCAAATTGTACCTTACTTTGAAAGAGGGACGAAAACCAGAAATGACCAATAGTTTAGGGACTAAAAACATATTTAACCCACACTAAATATAATATGTTCCGTTACTCGGCCTTATTATTTGTTGGTTTAAAAAATATTTGTAAATTTTTTTATAATCATCAATATTAAAAGATATCTATAAATATTCAAAAAAATATTATTTTATGTTTTTAAAATGAGATTTAGATAAAATTAAATAAATATATATATAATTTTAAAAGACAACTAAATAAAAGTTAGGATATATATGTTAGTTAATAGTATTTAAAACATACATATTCACATGGAAGTAATCTTAAAATTAAGTTTTATAATAAGTAAAAAAAATAGTCTAAGTTATAATAATTATTTTTATATATTGCAGTATTTTTTAACCGCTACTGATTTCTGAAAATGTAATAAACCTTATCATAACAAAGTATAATATAAGGGTTTAAGGCTATCTACACCTACTATTTTATATATTTTTTATAAAGTGACATTTTAAATAATAAATAATGATAATTAAGAGTAACATGGTACTTTTATTGATAAACAAATCCCACTGAAAACATTTGTGCATTGAATGTTTTTATTCACATTATATTACTATATTTATAAGTTATTAATATAATTAACTTTTAAATAAAATACATATTATTAACTGCGGTTATTTAAATATTTTATTATTTATTATTATCTAATTATATTTATAATTTCACAATTCAATAAAAAATTCAATAATGAAACAATTTAAAATATATAAAATAGTCATGACAGTAAAAAAAATATTTTATTTCATTGATAAATCACCATAACAAAATAATTACATCAATTACTAAAATGTTCAAATATAAAAAAAATAAAAGTTCATAAGACAATTCTACAATTAAAGTTATTATCCTAATCTTATTTGTCTCCACACGATCCCATTATATCATTTGAAAATGACATACCACATTTGGTATCCATCGCTGCAATGAATAAAAAATATATAAGAATATAAGTAATTGAAATTGAAATAAACTAAGATTAATTTATGTTAATCTCTTTAAATTTAAACTATAAAAATAGTATTGTACAATTAAAATTATGTGTAGGGACTAAAACATAAAATTTGTACAATTATAAAAATAAAAAAAATAATTAAATTAATAAGAAAGTAAATGGATAACTGTAATCATCCCTGCAATTTTAATTAATAATTGGTGTTTGTTATTAAAAGGAGTTTAGCTAATCAATTCAGAGAATGACTTTGACTCTTCAAAGAAAAAATCTTATGCACCCATCTTAATAGGGTAAGCATAAATACATAAAATTTTCAGTATATTAATATTACCATACCATCAAGATTAAATATATGTTTATCTTGTTTTTTTAAAAAAAGTAACTTTTGAACCATTTATTACTTAAGAAATTAATTTTAATAATATGTTTTCCAATAAACAGAATTTTATCATAGTATTAAATATGTTCTTACTTTATATCATGATATCAATTAAAATATATTTAAAATATTTATAAAAATCATACTCTAAAATTTATGTATTTTTTTTTTACTTTAACTATTTAATTTCTAAAACAAATAATCCACAAATAAAGAAATATATAAGTGATAGAGTGATACATCAATCGAATTACAATGTTATAAAATCAATTATTTGTTTTAATATTATATTAATTTTTATCCTGTTTATTCTCAATTTTGGAGAGTTTGAAAAGAAAAATCAATTCATTCATTCTAACATTAATTTTGAATGAATATAATATATAACTTGTAGTGATCATCTCCTTATCTTTTATATTAACCCACATTTAATTTTGAACACATCAATGTTTTCAAAGTGTAATATATTGCATTGTGGAATAAAGAACTAACAACAAATATTAAATAAAGATTCAAAAACAACCATTTGAATAAAAATGTCTAGAAAATCTTATGTTTAATTTATTAACCTTTCACTAAAACAAGATATCAAATTCTTCCATGTTTTGTAAAATCTTTTTTTCCAAACATATTTTCTTTCAACAAAACTTTGACGTGTTTGAATTTTGACTTGAAAAAACTAATTTCTTACCTTTAATGTCTATTTTATACTTTCTTATTAAGTCCTTATAAATAATCTCACATTTTCAATTTCACAACAAAATCTATCTTCATATAATAAAAAAATAATAATGAAATAAATCAATTTTATACTTAGATATAACACAATACTTATAACCATAACTTCTATCGATCACACCATAATATTTGTTAAATTTTAAAACCACATATACAATTATTTGATAAATAATAAATAAGAAAGATTCAAGTCATTACATCAAAACCAAATTAATTTGATTAGATATAACGAATCATATAACAAAAGTGACATAAAAAAATATTTTAAATTTTAATAAATTTTATTTTTCATTTTGTCAATCAAGTTGAACCTATAAAAACATAACTCTTATTATTTGATTTGTCTCCATTTAGTATTGTTATCTTGGTTTCTTCTTTAAACAATACATATATTAAATAACAAATAAATTAAACAAATATTTCAAGGTATAATTCAACAACCACGTTACTCGTTATGACATGACAAAATCACAGATAATTTTAGAAATAAAAATTACACAATTAAATTTTATCCGATCAAATTTTGTACAATCAAATTTTATAAAAAAAAAAAATTGTGGTTCACTGTCAGACAATTTTACTTCAAATATGATATTGTATTTGTTAGGGTTTTATGTAACTAACATCTGATATTTATTTATTTGGCATGTTTTTCTTTCATTACTTTTTTTAAGGACAAACCTGTAATGCAGAATAAAGATAAAACAAGTTCAACTCAACAAATAAAGACTTTAAGATAGACAAACAAATATTGGACAAATCCATCCCACATGTGGTTTTTTATCCGTTTTTAATGACCAATCTTAACTATTTCACTTTTTTTTTTCAATTTGAGAGAATTCAAAACAATATCTCCAAAACTTAAAAATGAAAAAGAAAAATATCAAAACATAAAATACTGATAATATTTTTTAATGAAATTAATATTTGCAAATACATTATGATCAAAACAACTACATAAGTGATATAAAGAATAAATGTGATATATAGCTAGTACTCCAGGCTTAGCAATGCACGTTATGGAATTTATTTTATAAAATAAAATATTTTTAAATAAACGTATTTATGTTGTAATTAAAAATTATGTTAATCTATTTTAAACATATAAATTATATTTTAAATTTACGGTAACAAATTTATATTTGAAAACAATATTATTTTAACCACTAATAATTTATTTTGAAAATATTACAATTTTATTTTAAATAAATAATAAAATGATAGAGTAAAA